CAAGAAACTAACCTAGCATGGGTGGTACAATGGGGAAGAGAAATGTCAGGGAGTCACCAGCTATGTCTCACCCCTCTCAGGGGACATTCACTTCTGATAATCAGCCTCCAAACGTGGCCTTTAGGAAGTCAAGAATGATTGCAGCTATAAGCCTGTGCTCCAACACGGCAGAAAGCATGTATCTGGGAAAAGTGGACAACGGTCCATAATACATTGCAGTATTATGCGCCATCATCATGCACAGCATTCGTTTCAAAGCTGCTTGAGAGATGACCATGAAGTCAGACGGCATTCTGATGGCTCGATTTATTCATTCTCTCCAAACCTCATGATCTGGGGGAGGGAGGGGAACAAAGAGGAGCTGATTCCCAGGGCTCACGTAGAAAGAAAATGGTTTGGAAATGATGATGGCAACATATGTACAAATGTGCTCGATACAATTGATAGATGGATTGTTATAAGAGATGTAAGAGCCCCCATAAAATGATTTATTAAAGTTAAAAAAATAAAAATAAACCTCATGATCCATACCATGAGTAAACACATTGATTGTCATGAGGGATATTCAGATAAATGTATCCTGTTTTCCACCCTCCAAGTTTAGTGAAGGGGAAAAGGTCATCACACCATTAAAATACATTATAGTTAAGGGAATGCTTATAAGCTAAATGCAAAGGAGGAGGAGGTGTGATTAAAAAACTTCAGGGAGTTGAATAAGGTTTCAACAAGAGCTTACTTTAGAGTGAGGTCTTGTTTGGTGAGAGGGAAAGTAAGGTAAATAAGGGGTATAACCCCCAAACAGAAATTTTCAAAGCTATGTATTTAAATTTTTAACAAAACAACCCTTATTGCCTTCAAAGTACTCTCCATGAAACTTAATTCATGTGTTAAATGTGCGATTCCATTCCTGGAAACATTTTTCAAACTCATCTGTTTCGATGGCTGACAGAACCTCCCGCATTTTTTTTCTTCACTTCTCCTACATTGTCCTTTCATGTCTCTCTTCATTCGCAGAAACAAAAAGAAGTCTTATGTAGCAAGGTCAGATGCATAAGGTGTGTGGGGAAAGAGAGGCATGATGTTATTAGCCCCAAACTGGCACACCGAGATGGCTGTGTGAGCAGGTGCAAAATGATGGTGGCAAAACCAGTCCCCCGTCTGGCACAAATCAGGCCGTTTTTGTCGTACACTGTTACAGTCTTTTCAGAACCTCTAAATAGAAAGCTTCATTAACAGTCTGACCAAGCAGAATGGCTTGCAGCTGCACCATCCTCCTCGGATATATAAAAACAGCAACAAATGAGCATCATCTTGACGTTTGATGTCGCTTGACAAGTTGATTTTGAGTGAAGTGATGATGGTGTCTTCCACTGGCTTGATTGGGGTTTACTTTTGGGGTCGTAAGAAGGTCTCTTCACCAGTAGTGACCTTGGGGAAAGTCTGGATGCTTTGGAGCTGTTCTTTCGATGCACAGCGTGCTTCTACTTGACAGTTTTTTCCTGGTCGTCAGAAACAAAGGCACAAATTTCGCAGCAACCCTTCTCTCACTCCCAAATCTTCCATTAAAATTCGCTGAACCAAGCTCCAAATTAGTCCAGATATCTCTTCAATGGCCTATTGTCAGTCTTCAAGTACAAGTACACGGATTTTGTGAACATTTTCATCCATTTGGGAAGTTGACGGACATCCAGAACGATGTTTGTCATCAATTGACATGTCTCCTTTTTTGAAGTGAGAAAACCACTCATATACTTGAGTTTTTCTCATAGCAGTGTACCTGTAAGCTGTGTTCAACATCACAACAGTTTCTGTGGCATTTTTACCCATTAGGAAATGAAATTTCACAGCCACATGTAGTTCTCTTAAATCAGCCATCACAAAAAATGAAGTTTGAGGCAACTGCTTTGACTGAAAAATTCACTGTGACCAGAGAGCACCTTTCCAGGAGATGCCACTGGGTGCACTAACTCAGAGTGAGTTGCTTGATGCTTACCTAGAGCACAAAATGTGTATTACGAAAGCAGCACCCAGGAGCTTTTTTACGTATGCATATTTTTGGTGGGGGGTACTCCCTCATATTCTAGCTACAGGTAGGGTCTTGTGGAAAAAAAAAGAAAATGAGGCATGGGAACATTAGGGCAAATGTGTGTGGGAGGGGTATATAGGGATGAGGAATACAGTTAGAGAGATGTGTTTGAACCATAGCTGTATTGTCTACAACATCACTGCAAGTAGTCTGAGCTTTGTTTTCAAGCTTTTAGAAACATAACTTTTCTCAAGTGGAGTCCTATCAAGGGGTCAATGGACAAGAATGACTATTTAAATAAGAAGAACATTTAGGGGGACTGTTGTCATAGACTAGAGCCCTAGTGGCTTAATGGTTACATATGGGGCTGCTGAATACAAGCCAGCAGTTCAAAACTACCAGTTCTCCCTGGGAGAAAGCCAAGGCTTTCTACTCCCGTACAGAGTATAGTCCCAGAAACCCACAGGGGCAGTTGTACCCTGTACTATAGGGCCATTGTGCATCGGAATTGACTCAATGACGGTGAGTCAATAAGAGTGGCCAGAATGGAAGCCCCAAACCCCAGCTCCCTGCCAGGGAGTCAATCCTGACTCACAGTGACCCTTTAAGGGAAGGAAGAATTGCCCCTCTGGGTTCTTGAGACTGCAAACTTTACAGGGCAAAAGCCTCATCTTTCTCCCATTGTGCAGCTGGTGGTTTCAAACTGCTGACCTTGCGATTAGTAGCCCAATTTGTAACCCACTACACCACCAGGGCTCTAAAAGCGGAAAGGAAGCAAATTAAATAAGTGTCCGTGATATTAAGGAAATAGACGCAGGGAACGAGAAAGAAGAGTGCAGGGGGCCTCGTCTTACTTCAGAGGCCTTTGCCTGCGAAGCTTCTGGAAGGAAGATGGCTGCAGGAGGAGCATGCGCTCAGCTGGGCACACTTTAAGCCTAAGAGTTACTTTTCTCAGTTATAAAAGGAGGGTCCAAAAAGATCGCTTCCACTGAGCCAATGGTCACTCCTAGTGACCCGACAGGGCAGGGTAGAACTTCCCTGAGAGTTCCTGAGACTGTAACTCTACGGGAAGAGAAACTCCGTCTTTATCCCATGGAGCAGGCTGACAGTTCCGCACGTCTGACTTTGCGGTTAGCAGCCCAACACGTAACCACTACACATACCTATAATAAAGCAGATCTGAGAGTTATGAAGATTAAATGATACATCACACACCCTCAGGTGACATTGCATTTTGCTATTAGATTTCTAAAAGCATGAGCTTGGAGAGTAGGTGGGGCAGAAGAGGAACACCTGGGAGCTATTGACAGACAGGTTATGCTTGGGATCATCTGAACTTAATATTAAGCTCGGTCTTCTAGGAAGACAGACTGCTTTAGAGAAACCATG